TTGCAGGGGAGAAGGAGACAACCTCGAATGGATGCCGTTGTGGAAAAATTTAAAAAACCAAATTCTATACTAGAGGAATGTTTTCCTTTCCTTTGGTGGTAGGCTCATTATAATTAAAATCATGCTTAATTCAATACCTCTTTATGTGTTGCAGGTTCTTAAGCTCAAATGCAGTACTCAAGTGGCTTTGGAAAAATGTTTTAATAAAATTTTGTGGGGTAGTGGCCACTCCAATAAAATCTGGTGCTCTTGGAAAAAATTTTGCATGCCTTATGCAGCTGGTGGAGTAAGTATGAAGGAATTAAAATGCATTTTTGATATTAATTTCATTAAGCTTTGGTTTAATTCAGGAAGGGACTCTCTTTATGATCTAATTTTATATCTACTAAGTATTGCTCCTCTCAACATCCTTCTAGTGCTTGTTGGAAAAAAAGTGATTCCAAAAGCTGGAAGTCCTTCTTAAACGCAAGGGTTGTGGCCTCTAACTATGTATATTGGGACATATAATAGGGCAATATTTTCTTTTGGAAGGATTAGTGGGCAGATTTTGAATTGGTTGGAATGCCTTGATGGGAGAATTATAGTAATCTTTTGGTTTCTGATTTATAAGTTGTGGAATTCTCAGTTCTTAGGGGATGTAGTGGGTTCTTCCTCAGCGGCCATTTCCAAAATACCAATAAATTGCTATAAGAGGGATTCATTATTACTTAAAATTCCTCATAACGTTTTGATTATTAAATTCATTTATGAGAAGCAATACTCTTTTGATAAAATGGTTTGGGGGGATTATATATAGGGAAAGGTCTTGACAACCTCGATGTCTTTCTTCATATGGAGACATTTTCATGAGTTACTACCTTATGAAGACATTTTGAAGCTCAAAGGCCTTCAACTTGTTCTCAATGTTGTTTTTGTAAAATCTCTGAGGAAATTGCTAACCACACATTTTTCCAATGCCCTTATTCCTTACAGGTCTGGAATTACTTTGCTAACCTTTTTCATAGAAAATTCCCTTCTAGCTGGAGTAATCTTAATGATTGTTGGCTCTTATGGGCTAATGGGAACTCTAAGAAAGTGTTTTTTTTCCTTTTATTTTTATGTAGTTTTTATGGATGGCAAGAAATACTAGCAAGCATGAAGGCATTGTAAATCCCTTACCTGTTGTTATTGCTAATATTATGGCTTATCATTGTAAGCTTGACAACTCGAATCTTTTTATAGACAATTTTTTTGTTGGCACACACCTAAACATTTTAGGGATGCCTCTTCCTAAATTGGTTAGGTGGATGCCACGTCCCCAAAAAATGTTTCAAGGTAAATGTTGATGGGAGTTGGTCCCCATTAAGGGCAGGTGCTAGTAGAATTTTCAGGAATTATGAAGGAAAGTGTAATTGTTCCTTCTCTTCCCCTTGTATTGCTTCCAACCCCCTCAAGGCAGAGGCTTAGGTTGTTCTTTTGTCCCTTAAGGTGGCGGGTTTTATTGGTTGTTCGACTATGATGGTGGAACTGGACTCTTCACATCTCTTGTAGTCTTTATGTGGGAAACTTATTCCACCATGGCATATTGTGTACTTAAAATAAATTAAGGATTTACAAAATAGACGGAATTTGATTATTGATTGGTGTTTCATCTATAGGGAGGGGAACTGGCCAGCACATTGGTTGGTCAAGCATGGTCTAAGCAATTTGGAGGTGGGATCTCGACCTTCTCTTGAGCTAAGAAGACTTATTGATGGCGATTTACTGGAACTGCCATATCTTCGGGTGGCTTAATTGTTAACTTATTTTGACGAGGCTTAACCTACTTTCTGTTGGTGGGGGTTATTCGGTTTTGTTGGTGTTTGCCAGTTTGGAGGTCGTACCTCTAGATGGCTTTGTTGCTTATCATGACATATCATCACTATCTCTACTTTCTCCTTATCAACTTTGTCGTTGGACGTTGGTTGGGGTTACTGTTTGTGGTACTTATCTGGGACTTTTTCTGTTAGTTGTTTGGGTACTGAGTCCACCCTTAATTACTGGTGTACTTTGCTGGATTGGTGCTTCGATGTGTTTTCTAGCTTAGGCATGTTGGAACTTTTCAATTTATGTAATTGGTATCTCGATGTTCTTGGTGGTAGAGGAGGAATTCCCTTTCTCGCTGGCAGGTTCTCACCTGTTTTTCTAGTTTGTGGTCCTCATTGGAAGTTATTTTGGTTGGATCATTTGGGGAACTCTCTTGATTTACTTATATGCAATTTATTGAAATCGTATTCCAAAGTACTGCAAGGAATTTACAGTTATTGCTTTATGTTGGATGGGCTTTTGAGCTTGCCCTTTATTTTTGGTGGGCTCATACCCCACCTCTATCATATGGGAGGAACCTTTTGGTTGGATTTCAGTTGTATTCTGGTTGGTTTGCGGGTTACTAGTGTTGGGGCCTTATCCGTTTACTATGGAGCTTCATAGAATTCTATTTTTAACTCATTTTATTCAGTGGTCCAAGTGAGGTTACAGGCCTGGGACTTTCAGATATTGTGGGGGAGCTTCCTATCGATCGGTGTGGAAGGGAAGTACAATTTACTTTTTGTATTATGGTATATTCTCCTTATTGATACGTGGGTTTTTCTGCTTGCATCAAGGCCCTTCAATACTATGGATACTAAAGCTGTGGTTGTTGTTTGGATGAAGGATCAAAAGTCATTTCAACCGCAACACCATTTTGTATTTTGGTGAGATCACCCTTGGTTCTAGTTCGAATGTTTCATATCAAATCATACAATTTTCTCTCCTCATTTTCGCACCTGAGTTGGCCTTATTTTGTTCTTCCTTAAGACTCTTTTTCCTAGTTTCTATGTCATTTTGTGTATACATGTAACTAAATCCGTTTTACTTTGTGTGTGTTCTTTTTCTTCTTCAGCAATATAATGCCTTCGCGTTTTTCA